GTGAGACACATTCAGGCCACTTCGGACACTCCGCTTGTGCTGGCATGGAGGCGCTTTCATGACTCGTTCAGCGTTCAACCTGGTGGATGAAAGGACGACTCGGAGTCACGAAAAGCACAGCCCGTGCTTTTAGAATCCAGCCCCTTCTTTCAAATCGCAACCCATGCTCACGCGCAGGTGTACCTTTCGGACGCGTCCGGCGCGTCGCCGCTCGTGTACGCCGCCTCCTGGTGGTCCGAATCGGACGTCGGTACGTACCTCTCGGACGTGCACGCGCCCATCTGGACCAATCTGATGGCCGTCAAGGCGCCGCTCCACCGCAGCCTTTCGTGCATCTACTTTGGCAACTCCCCCGCGCTTGAAGCGTGAGTCGTTTCGTACCGACCACTTTTCAACCCTCTGCCCGTGGCAGGCTATGAGGAAAAAGCGGATACAGCTGTTTGCGTGACCCTCACGAGGGATTCAAAACCGCTTTACGTGATCTTCGACCGTCTGATCGCTCTACTTTGAGAAGTATTGGCATTTTGGGGAGATTCCTCCGCCTTCTATGCTCAACACCAGGCACGCCAGTTTGAGGGGGAGGCCAGGCCTACCAACAGCTCTTTTTCGTGGAGACCCCACAAGAAGGGGTCTGCTCTCTCTTTGATTTTTTTCCCACTTTTTAAACTGTCTTTGGCGGACGCGCACGCCTTGACCGCTGTGACAAGTCCCCGACCGCTCTCGCTTATGAGACAGCGAGACGGCGTTTACGAGACTGCTGTTGGGCAGGTGCAAGGTTGCCGAGCTTATCGTCGGTCTGATCATTCAGTCGTGATCTGATCAGACACTCGACCTCGGTCTATTGACGATACGAATTTTCTCCCTCGTTTGATCTTCTGGTCACCTGCTTGATCTTGCGTTGAGAATCCATTGGCTGTAATTTCGAGGCGCTTCAAACAGCCTGACGTCCTGCCTTAAAAGAGCTCGTAGTACTTCCATCCCCAATCAAAAGTCCCTCTTTCAAGCGTGCCGAAGCGTAACGGAATGCTGCAACTTGAAGTTCCAAACGCTATAAGGACTCAGCCGTTATTGCTTAATCATATAATGATTTGAGCTAGAAGGTAGTCGGCGGGACCCACATGGCTGCAATTGACAATACGGACCTGTCTACCAAGGGGACGGGGTACGAATGTTGCTCACTCACTCTCTATCCTCGGTTTCGCAGGCGGTTCGGGATGCCAGGTCCTTTTTGGGCACGTCACTACCTTTTCTACGTCAACGGGCGGCCACTGACGCTGATCTACGAAGCCTTTTCCAACGCGTTGGAGACATATCTGGGGCCGAACGACCGTTGGACGGCGCCGTTCGGCCGGCTGGCTTGACTGCCCCACCGGTCGTCTTGGGGCAAAGGAAAATGGTTCCGGGTTGAGGGGTACATGCCCCTGGAACATAAGGAAACCAGCCTGGGACGGGTGAGGTCAGTTAGGAGGGTTAGGGTGGGTCAGCGGGGTGCGGGGCGGTCCGGCTCCTGTAAAAATTTCTATTTGTGCACTCGAGTGATATATGGTCAAGAAGGCTTTGAGGCCCGGCCGGTCTGCTCTGCCGAGGATAGCCAAAGCAGTTACACGTGTAAAGACCCGTCCGTAAGAATAGACAATTGCCAGAAAATGAACTTATATGATCGTGGTGCGCCGTTACGTCTAGTACTCAGTGTGGAAGTCTCACACAAGGCACGCGGTGTCAGCTCCAGAATCTGGGTTATGCGCGGCTAGGGCCGTCGAGCGGCAACCACGAGCCTCGTCAGCGGCCGCCGTCAGCCAAGATGCCAAGTCCGCCGTCTTGTTTCAAACGAATTTGACAAGTTGCTGGTGAAAGGAAATGGCTGACAAGAGTCAGAATTGTATAGAGTTGTACATAAGGAAGATCTGTCTGATCTATTTTTTTATCTTGCGTTCATCGATAACCCATGCATGAGTCTTTTGACGTGACCGTCAAACCTATCTGGAGTATCGCTAATTCAATCTACTTGTAGTTGTATTCCTCCGTCTGTTGCTGAAATCAACAAGCGCTGGCCAAGATGATGTCAGATGAAGGGTGATCATCATCTCCGCTATGTCGACACTCCAAAACCAAAGGAGTCGTTTCTCGTCCCAAACTTTTCATTCCGCGAGTTGAATTGAATTCTTTAGAAGCTGAATGGGCAAAGTGTAAACAGGATCCACAAAGCACTTCAGTAGGTGAATCGCCCGCGCACCGTACGTCATCATCAGTTTCGCCAATATCAGGCGCATTTACCCGCCCAAATCTTCTCACCCAGTCCCGCTGGATTCCGTTGTCCTCATTCCGTCCGGTTCCGGTTCGTCTGATCCGGCGCTGCTCCTGTATCTCTGTGGTTTTAGGAATTTGCTTCTCCGCACCGCCCACATCGCCCCACCTAGTTCGACCCTCCGCCCCATCCCGGCTGGCTTCCGCTGTCGTCATTCGGTGGCATTCCCGTTCCGTTCCGCTGCTCATCCATTCTCGCCTCGAATCTAGATTTTGCCATCTCCGCACCGCCCACATCGCCCCACCCACTCCCTCCCCCCATGCAATCCGGCTGGCTTCGGGTCTCATTGAACCGTTGAGCTCCCGTTCCGTTCAGCTGCTTGTTTAATCGTAAATCACCGGGATTCTGCTTCTCCCCACCGCCCACTTCACCCCACCCAATCTCTCCGCTTCACCCTTCTACCACTTCCGGCTATCTTCCGTCACTCTCTGCCAGCTGCACTTTCGTCCTTCCGTTCCGCTGGCCCTCCGCTTCCTCCTCCCCCAGTTGCCCAGCCCCCGACGCCCTTTCACCGTGTCCTTTGAGCCTGATCGAACTCTCGGCCGGTCTTGAATGTGCTTTCTCCGCCCAGCTAGTTGCAGTCCCATCATTCGACGGGGGCTCTGTCGTATTTTCCGGGGGGTCTGCTGGCGGCTCGTCCTTCTCGGGCGGCACCGGTAGAAAACGTCCTGCAGGCTCGGCAGGTTAATTGACGTCACACTCTCCGTTTTCCTGACTTTTCATCCCCCGGGGCACTTCGACTGCGGTCAACTTGAAGCTGACGTCAGCGGGGCGGGGGAAATGACGCTGCGGGCGCTGCAGTCGCTCCGCTTGCCCTTGAGGAGCGCCACGTGGCCCTCTTTTGGGGTCTTTGGGCGGCTGGATCAGGTCAACGATGCCCCGGTCTTTCTTGGTGGGCGCTCGGTCCTGCCATAGGATGGGCCGGGCTCGACGGTGTCTTTCCATCTTTCTGCTCTGAGGAGAACTGGTGACCTTATTCTGAAGGTGTTTCAATTGGGATAACCCGCTGTGGAATGCGCGGTCAATCCGAGGGATGTATCTCCGAAGCTTTGAGCCATTTACAATGACTGGTGTAAGGGCATCGAAACAAACACGAGCCACGTTTCGCTTGAAGAAAAAGTGGTTGATGCACGTCTCTTCGGGTGTCCCGCAAAGCAAGGAGCGACTGCCGGAGTTTCACGAAACTTGACGGACCGTTGGTCACACGGTGGGGAAAGGACAAATGATAAAAGAGAGCCAGAAGATGGATCATCAGTATACCCGCCGAAGATCAGAAGTAGATTTGACGAGGTTAGTGGCTCGCACTGAAAGCACAATCGGAATATACTGTGGGGCTTGCGAATGTGACGGTTCCGTTACGAGCACACTCTTCCCTTGTCTATGAATCGGTCCAAACAAGGGTTTTAGCTTACGGTTTGAAAATCATCCTGAACGAATGATGCTTCTTATTTGCTACTATTCCAGTGCGCTGCTCGCTTTGGGGGGGCGTGCCAACCTTCGTCAAATTCCATCAGCTGCGGACACAGGTAAAAGCACTGTTCAAACCCCGACCCGTCGAAAAGTTGCAATAAGTTTAGCACGTCCCCAAAATCCTATCCAGTCATGCCAGTGTCGAAGGGCTGGTCGCCCGCACCTTCCGCTGTTCCGCTGTTCCGCTCTCCGGCTTCTTGGTGGCGGCGGGGAAGAAGGAGTTGACGGGCGGTTGCAGGCGTGCGTCGTACTCGTCCGGCGCTTTGCCGGCGTCCCTCAGCAGCTTCAACTTCTTACTGGCCGCCAAGATCGACCGCAGGCATCTTGTACGACGGGGTCCTGGAAGCGCAGAAGTTTTCAATCTCTGTGCCAGCTCTCTTGATGTCTTGGTTTTGCAGTGGCTATTTGCTCCGGACAGGGAGTGAAAAGAGATTGCTACATCAGCCCTTTTTGGCCGGTTGCTGGGGTCTCGTGGGGCTGCAATTGTAAGCACAAGTGGTGTAAGCACAAGCTTTCTTTTCAGCTTGGTTGCCTTCGACGAGGTTGCCCTGTTGGATCAGCTTGCACTTCAAGAGGGGTCCTAAGCTCAGGTTTTGTAGTTGCTGTACGCTCTACGTATTCAAAGGGCTGCTTCTAGCGCTCGCGAAAGAGCAAATAAGCAAGAATATTGCAAAAGATCAGCACTCCGTTTTGAAAGGAAACCATTCAGAAATGGAATTTGTGATATGAACGTGAGCCATGCAATGATCTTCTAAAATGAAGAAAGTTGTGCAAGAATTGGCTTAATTGGACGCCATCTGCAGAGTTTTCGATCTTCGGGCGACGCAGAACCCCCACTGCATGCAGGAAATCAACGTACATGCGACTATTCCGCATGCATTTCCGTCCAACCCTGCAGGGTCCATGATTTTGCTTGACGTTGGTGCCGTGTGGACCGCAAAAAACCCTTGGCACCGCATAGATACCATGTATTAGTAAATCGTACGTGTCAAATCATGAGGGGGTATTTTATTTTTGTGATGAAGTATGCGTTACTAATTGGATTGGTCCAATCCCGCACAAAATATTCCATAAGCGCACGAGGCTTTCGCATACGCATATGCACAAATGGATCCTCCGACACTGTATATGCATGCATTAGTCATTGCTGCCTTTCTGCAGCTATCACAACTAACAAATTTCTGCATCTCAACATGTCGATCGGCTATGACGTTCAAGCTGAATCGGATCTCAGCTAATGTCAAATTCGACTTTAATTGTGCCCCATGAAGTGACTGCTATCAAGAATCAATATTGATCAAGTAGTACAGATTTGTGGAAGATACCAACCATATCATGCAGGGCCTTGATGTCTTACTGCCGTGAGCGTCCCGCCAGAAAGATGGTCTCTTTTCACACGCCGTAGCCAGTGCGGCCATAGGCTTCTCATGGCATACGATATTTGTGATTGTTGTGTTGCGCATGTTCAATAACCGACCCTTAAAGCTTCTTGGCTTATCGATTGAGCTTGTACAAACATGTTCGCTTGAGAAAACAACGAGTCGTAACCAAACGGGACAGTGCAAATGTGACCACAATCAACGGCATCAGGCCGAGATCAAGCCAGAAAGCGACGATGCTCATTACCTAATACGGGGAAGCCTTCCGAGTACGAGCGCGGAACACTTGCGTCAGCACGTCGATCTTCAGCACTCCGGACATTTCAAATCAAGTTTGCGGCAGCTAATACTTGAAGCTATTCAATCAATCAGGCAAACCCTCTCGCTTTCTTGCCATTCTGGCCGCTGGCTCGCAACATGGCCCAAAGAGCAGACCATGCGATGGCAACTACTGGAAGCCCCACATACACATAGTCCATTCTTTCGAAGGTTTCCAACGAGTCCTCTTTTGTCATTGTGTTTGCGTGAGGATACGGTGTGTCAGGTACTTGGACCCCAAGAAAGCTGCACAGCGGCTCCCAGCCGTCCTTTGCGTTGAATATAAGCAGGCGCTCTGGGGCAACTCCGGCAATAACCCGGTGGCGCCAACCCAGTACAATATGACAGATCAACAGGGCGTTCGATCTCAAGCCTACGTTCCAATCAATACTTGAGGTCAAATTGAAGGCAATCGTGCAGCTCGTACGTACATACTCTGCTCGTTATTTACCCAACAAGAACTTATGCACCTCAGCTTGAAGTTGTGAAGTTTTTGAGCTGATGCTACGCACGTTCAGAGCACCAGCGACTTCTGATTCACGACTTCAACTAGCATAAAGTGATGGTGGTAAGAATCGGGTGCAGATTCATTGCTTTCCTTAGAACTGCAAATTCGAGACCTGGTGACCAACGCCGTACGCTTCCAGTAATACAGTAAGCATTTCGATCAAGCACTTCAAACCAAGCAGATCAATGAAAGTATTATGCACGCTAAGCTGCCTTCCAATCCGGCCAACTACGACGATGCTGACATCTAATGAGCGTCGGACTAGCCAATTCAGTTGCTCCATCCAAGAACGTTTTTGCGAGTTCCCTGCTTTTGATGTAGCTCAAAAAGTTACATGAAGCTTGCAGTTTGAGTCAGCTCACTTCCTGAGCCACGTGCCGCTCGAAAATGGTGCGGGCCGCTTCTTTGTTGTCAAAGGAGCCCTCAAAGGTTCCAGTCTTTGACCACAAGATGTCGGAGATGGTGCGCCTCTGGAGGTACTTCTGCTTCTGTGCCAGCTTCAACCACGGAAATCGCTTGAACTTGAGCAGCACCGCATTGTTATGTGCATAGATCGTGGTCTGTGCACTTCTGTACCAGCTGTTAAAGTCGCGCACAGAGAGGATGACCTTGGCATCCGGGTGCAAGTCGCATAACTCGCGCCAATACCGGCAGCCAGGCCAGTCCACCTGCCAAACAAAGAGGGGACTGGCAGATGGTCAAACTCTGAAGTAACTTTGAGATAAACTCCTTTTTAGGAATCTGCCGATCTCACCATACGCCCCAAGCAAACTTGATACACAGCTAGCAAACACTCTTTGTCCACCATGGAACGGTGGAATCGTTCAATTACTGCGAGTGCTCTGCAGAGCACTTCGGGTGAGGATCAGCCAGAAGCAGCTCAAAGATGTGTCTAAGCACAAACAAGCTTAGCTTTAGCATACCCTCTTACAGTGGAGACAAAGACCTAACATACCTCAAATTCATGACTCAAAAGTCTTGCATGATGACCAGCAATGATGCACACTTCTTGGCTCCAGGTTTATTCCAAATTGCACATCATCTGAATAGGTAACCATCTTTGAGATTGATTCCAGGTACAAAAAGCAGCAGCGGCAGCTAGGACAAATTGCGGCACAAAAAAGTTTGTTGTACAACAAGATTACAATGACCCGCTTCAACTAGTCTAGATCTCTTAAAATTCTATCAACTTTGCCTAATAGGTCTGTGTGTCCGCTTCCACTTCTTTATTAGTTCTCTCACTGGCTTGCGGCAACGTCCGCATGACAGGAGCACCAGTTTATCATTGATTTCGATCGTTGTAATGTGTCAAGATTGGGCTAAGGTTGGACAATTCACAAACTGCAGCTTTGCTGGCTCGGCAGTAGTGAGCAGCAACGCTCTAAATCCGCTATTCTTGTGGCCCTTCACATTCTGCTGCTGCCATGCCGCACACAGGCGCATGGAAAACAATGCACACTCACCGTTGAAGCATACCCCTTACAAGCCTCCCTGAGCTTCGCCGGATCCGCTCTGCCATACTCTTGCTTGCTCTCCTCAACGGCCCTCCATATTGCCCCGGGCCTTCACCTCGCTCATATGATTGCAAGGGCCAAATCCAAGCTCCGTCAAAGCAGCCTTCAAGCTGGTGGTGCCCGTCCTTCCAAGTCCTGCCCCTATTATCCGCAGCTCATTCGCAGGCTTTGCCATAATGATGGCATTGGGACTACAAATGTAACAAAGGGTGGGAAACGGCAAGACGAGAGTGTGTTAATAGGGCTGTCTGGGGGCTATATGGGTACTCTAGGCCATACTGTCACAGGCTATAGTCACATTTCACTATTTGAGAGTCACATGCAAACCACCGCATTGAATGCAGCGATTTATGTAGAAGCAGAATAATACTAATAGTAGAACGACAAGCAGCAACCTAGCTAGACCCGCCGACGACCCGCCACACTATCCCCGCATGCCCCGCTGGATCAGCTCTAATTCAGGCAGAGTTGCTTTTGGCAACTACGGTATGTGCCTCTTGCCACAGTGTGACAGGCAAACAATTGATACCGGTACTTGTTAAAGTTGAGATTTTGACGGGCCTTGCATTAATTTGGTGTCTAACTTCGATTCAGATTCTGATTCCGTATGAGTACCAATTAGGGTACCATCACTTTGAAGTGGCACCCCCTTAGGTATTCTGTTGGGGGGGGGGCTCGGGTTGCTTCAACCAATCTCAAGTGGGGAGGAGGGGGGGGGGCTGAGGCCTTTGGCTTGGGGCGAAGCCCCAGCCAAAAATTCAGCTCAAGAACATGCTTTTTCATGCTAATTTATCAGGTTTAAGCCCACTGGTCAGAGATTCTGGACCACGAGTGCAACAAAGAAGCACTTTTCAGGGGCGAATTCAAGCATACGAGAGTGCTTATGTCCAGAAACTTTGCCCGGGTGGTGGCTATGTGGACCGGGGCCTTGACCTTTTTTGTGAAGACAATGCCGGGAGGGGGGGGGGGTCTTGAGACCCTCAAGCCAAAGTGCCTCTAAAATACCTAACCGGGTGCCACTTCAAAGTGACGGTACCCTTAGGTATAGTGGACAGCCTGGGCTTATACTGTGGACGTGGCTGTGGACGTCATGTGGACGGTCCAACCGGGGGTACTGACAAGTACCGCGCGCGCGACACTTCAAGAATTTCAAGACAGAAAACGGTTGAATACATATCGGCCGCACTTTGACTAAGCCTAGTCCAACTTCTGTACTAGAGCAGTCTAGGTTCACAGTGTTCACGCGAGCCGGCCTGCCTACCTATGTACCTAGACTCACGAGACTGGGAACGACAGTCCGTCAGGGCCTCGAGGCCTCAAGTTTGCCTCAAGTTTGTCACTTTATCACTGTCTAA